GAGCTAGGCGACGACCTCTTCAGGGCGAAAGCCTGTCAGACTCACCTAAGCTCGTGGAGCTAGGCGACGACCTTAGTAGGGCGAAAGCCTGTTAGTCTCACCTAAGCTCGCGGAGCTAGGCGACGACCGCTTTAGGGCGAAAGCCTGTTAGTCTCACCTACGCTCGCGGAGCTAGGCGACGACCTCTATAGGGCAAAAGCCTGTCAGTCTCACCTACGCTCGTGGAGCTAGGCGACGACTTCCATAGGGCAAAAGCCTGTTAGTCTCACCTACGCTCGCGGAGCTAGGCGACGACCTTCGTCAGGCAAACGCCTGTTAGTCTCTCCTAAGCTCGCGGAGCTAGGCGACGACTTCTATAGTTGACAAGGCCGTTGAATGAAGTGGGGCATACGAGTCTTAAAAGACTTAGCAATAATTGCGCTAGGTGCCAAAACACATTGTCACGATGCTAAGTGTTTCAAAGACTTGGTGAATAAGTTCGTTGTAGAAGGAAAGATATTGTTACTTGCGCGGTAATAGGTTATATAAGTATGCGGACATTGACATAAGTAACGGCACGGTGCTAACAATTCGTAGAAGTTGGAAATGCAAAACATGGTTCATTGAACATACCCAAAACATACGACTAAATAAGTTTAGAGTTACATGCCAAAATAAATGTAGTACGTTCAAATGTTCTACTTCAACACAAAATGAAATTACATGACTCTAAGGAGGTGGCGTGCCGTAGACCTTTTCCACATCTCCCCCGAACTTCTTCGCCACGGTAGTCGCGGCAGCCTCCAAAGCCTTGTCCCACCAAGGATGGTTCGGGGGAAGAGACTTGTCGCCGTTCCATCCAGATGGGGTAGGGACGCCTTTCAGCAGCGCGTCCTCATCTACGGAGATGGTGAAGCCTTGCTTCTCTGCCTCAGCCTGGGTACGAACGACCCCCTTATGGAAGTACTCACGGCAGGCTGTGCCCATCCGCCGGAGGAATGCTACGGAGTTATGATAGTGTGACAGCAGTTCAAACCGGAAGCACTCGACGAAGTGTTGTCCTATGTCCGATGATAGGAAAGATCCTTGGCCATCCAGTTCGGCCTGAGCAACGCGCTCATCAACTTCCTCTCGAAGTTTTTGTAGCTCGGCGTCTTTGGCTTTGAGCTCGGCGTCTTTGGCTTCGAGCCCGGCGTCTTTGGCTTTAAGCTCAGCCTCTTTGGCTTGGAACTCAGCTCGGAGTTTCTGCGTTTTGGCTTTTTGACGATCGAGGGCCTTTTGCAGGTCGGCGACCTGCTCCTTGCCCTTCTCCACCTCGTCCTTAAGGGATTTCACCTCGTTATCCTCATCCTCCAGCTGCTCGTCGAGGAGAGGAGCTATGCCAGCCAAAGTCTGTTTGGGACATGGGGTTAGATTTGCATAGATTTTGCAATATGTGTTTAATGATGGTGTAAGCTAAGTGTAATAGAGTCATACCAGACCGAGGTTGTAGGTGATCGACTCGGCTTGCCTCTTCTTGGTAGGCCATTGCATTGTCTCGCCCTTCGGGAAAATGTCGAGGAGGTAAGAGCTGGTTACCGATATGTCCTTGTTCCCGGCAAATCGAGCTGGCTTCTTGGCCCGCGGGGTACCGGTGGTCACCTCGGCGCCTAGTGCCGATGTGGTCCCCTCTTTGGGGCAAGTCTTCGTACGCTTGAAGGACCTCGTCGGATGCTCTCGGGAGACCCGGCGCTCGGGGACCTGGTCCAGGACAAAGTTGTCCACCTCCTGCGCTGGCGCTTTGAGGGGAGTAGGCGCTGCTTCTGTGGACTTGGCAGGGGGGGCAGCACAGGTCTGGAGAAGTTCCGCTGCATGACAAGGAAAGAAAAAATATAAGTAAACAAGTCATATGAGTAGGACTAGCATAAAGGAAAAAGTAAGTGATATGATGGCGACTTGTGGCGTCGAATCCTACCTATATCACTCACGGGGTCAGCGGCACAGCTCGACAGGTGGAAGTGCCGAAGGAGTCGGTCATTGGTGGTCAGCTTCACCACGTGAAGGGGGGTCTTATTCCATTGGGCGATAAGGGTGTCATATTTGGCGTTCCGTCTTGGTTTCTTTCGCTGACCTGGTAGCTCGTCCAGCCACTCAGATTGGAGGTCGGAAATTTTGGAAGGGGGGCGAACGAAGAAGAATTTGTTTTGCCAGTTATGAATTTTTGATTTGGGGTTTTTAAGAAATTTAGCACTGTTGCGCGGCATGAGGTAGGGCGAAGTATTGTTCGAGGATTGGAGATTGAGACAATAGAAGCATAGTTCTGGGTCAAACTCGCCGAGGTGAGCCCGACAAGTCATGATAAAACCAACGAGATAGCGCATCGCGTTAGGAGGAAATTGGTTCAAGGGAAAGCGATATAAGTTGCTCAATTCGAGTAGGTCGGGGTGCAGGGGAAATCTTAGTCCGGCGTTGGCTTGATCTATGAAGAAGCTATAGAAGTCGGGTGGGGGATTCTTGTATGAATCTCCGGGTAGTGGAAGTCTCAGTTCCCATCCTTGGGGTAACTCAATTTTTCTAACAAGGGTGGCTATTTGGTCGTCCGAGTAGGAGATGGGGTTAGAAGGTGTCGCTTAGGAGTGGGTGGCACATTTTTTTGTTTTCGTGGAGGTTGAGGTCGACGAGGCTTGGAGGGCCAAAGTGACGGTCAGATTTTCTATGGGTGTGGAGTGTGAAGTAGGAGAGGACGTACTAGTGTTCGTGGCGGACGATGAGGTACTAGGGTTTGTGATTGAGGTTTAGGATTCTAATGGGTATGATAACCGAACAACAATTGACGAGCATATGCGAGAAAGAGATACATAATGAATAAATGCAATTTTGCACAACAATAATGAAGGTGATAGTAGGGGGATGAGGTCGGCGTACCCATGAAATTGTCCGACATCGTGCTAGGATAGATAAGGCCGGCGTACGTGTGGTTTTCATTTGATGAAGGGCACGAGCTCGTCGGTTGGGCGTGAGGGCGACGCGGGCTCGGTAGGTCGACGCGGGCTCGGTAGGTCGGCGCGGGCTCGTCGTGAGATGCGAACTCGTCGTCGGGGTAGTGTGAGTGCTCGGTGGAACTTTTTGTGCTCGTCGGATGGTGACCACCGAATCTCAAAAGATTAGGAGCTCCATTTCGTAGAGAGAGAAATAATTAAGTAAAGAGAGGAGGAGAAGAGAAGAGTTGAAGTGGTAAATGATGAATGGGAGAGGTAGATATTTATAGTTGGAATTGAGTGAGCCTTGTTTAATCTAGGCCATCCATTTCAAAATTGGATCAAGGGAGGAGAATGAAACTTGGTGACCAAGTTGCTTTATGTCACTTTCAAAGAAGGATGGTAGGTGAAAGCATGTGAGGGGGTGATGGGGTAGCTAGGTGCATTGTATTTATGTAAGTTTGGTTGGTACCTCGAAGCGTGAGCTCGACACCTCATCACCATGGAAAGCTCGGCATCGGCATCTTCGGCTCGGCGCGGCAGGTCGGCATCGCGGGCATGATGGTGGCAGCTCGGCGCTCGACGATGAGGGGCGGGTCGGCACGCCTCGCCTGCTCGGCGTCGGCATTTGNTCGGTGCGGCAGCTCATCACCTCGGCATCCTCAGCTCGGCGTCGCCTCTCGCGGGAGCTCGGCGGCGGCTCTTCGGCAGGTCAGCTCATCGGCTTGGCGGTTCGGCGTGAGCAGCTCGGTAGGTCGTCGCGTGAGCCCGGCGCGGGGGTCGCGCCTCGACAGCTCGGCGAAGGCAGCTCGGCGTCTCGGCGGGTGGGTCGCACCTCGGTAGCTCGGCGGGTCTCCTCGGTGGTCGGCACCCTTAGCTAGCTTTGTACAAAGGGTCGAGTCGCGACACTTTGCATAAGACCTCGTGTGATGACAGGGAAGTTGGAAAGTAAACACGATTATGCGATGGATCACCACGATATGAGTAATTTTTCTATTTCTTAGGCCAAGCTGCGATAGCTGGTCCTAAAAATGGGGGGGCTAGACGATACGGCCATGAGAATGGGGTTAATAAAGGATCGGTCGTAGGCCGCACTTTGTATCAGCTAGGCGTAGTCTAATCAGCTGGGCGTGGCTCAGCTGGCCAAGCGGAGGTTAGCTTGGGTGGAGTGCCTAAGGTAATCGCCTAGGTACCTCGTCACCTAGGCACCTCGTCACCTAGGCACCTCGTCACCTAGGCAGCTCGACAGGAGGATTCCGTTGAGGGGACTAGGGCCTGGAGGTGGCGTCGTGTTTGCCAAGTTACGAGGAGGTTCACCGCAACTAGGATTCTTATGATCTAAGAAGATCTAACCAAATCTAGGGTTAGATGTCAGGAAGACTTCTAGAACAACCAGGACTCTTCATGGCTTCACCTATAAAAAGGAGCAGGTTCATTCATTCTACACAACACACATACACATATTATCTTGTTACTCTGCCGTTTTCTCTTCGAAACACCACCACTGACTTGAGCGTCGGAGTGTCCACGCCGGGACCACCTCCAGCGTGTTTTGCAGGTACCGGCGATCAAGAAGGTTCAATTCGGTTCGAGAGGAGCGGTCGAGCGGTTCAGGTGTTTGTGGAATAACAATACTTCTTTTCATAATAAATTTATTAAAAAATATTAATTAAATATATGAACAATTTAAAAATTTTCAATGTTTAACTAAATGATAAATAATTTATATATGTCCATTTTATTTAAATATGTATTTTTATTTATATTAAAAATAGTTTTAAATGTAACAAAATTTATTTAAAAAATCATATTGATATTATCAGTTTGACCGACTGGTGTTGACCGGTTCTCTAGCAAACATTTCATTCAAGCGAACTGAACTAGTCGATAAACCAGTTTCGGTCCATACGGGGAACTGTTTGGTCCGGTTCAATTTTAAAAACAATGAATAAATTATAATATATTTAATAAATAATATAATATAATCATAATATTTATTAATAATACAATCCTAATATTATTTCTCTGTATTTTATGATTCAAGAGTCGTTTAAACAAATTCATTTTTTGAGAAGGTATTTCAAAGGAATTTTCTCGTATTTATCATGATACAGATGGTGGGTGGTGTTGAAGAGAACATACATAACAATCTGAGAAACAAACTCACTCCTTCCTTCCATCTTAAACTCTAATCCACGATATGGTCCATAGTTATTTGGCTGTTCCATTTCCAAAATGGACTCACACTTTTCCATCAAATTCAACTCCCAGCACCCACCACCGCTCCACAGCAAGGGCTTCGAGATTGAAGGCTCTGTCAAAGATTGATGATGATGATGCTGGGTCTTTGGAGCAGTTTCTGCACAACAATTCCATATCTGATTTCATGAGGTTCAAGAGGGGTCGTAACTCCCAGTTGCAGACTGCTATTGTTAGCTATCGCAAGAAGTTCCCTTGGTCCCTCTCTCACCCCTTTCTGCGAGTAAAGCAGATTCTAATTTCTTTCTTTTTTTCCTCAGCACTGCATCTCGGTTTATTATATATACGCTTTTTATCTTCTTTTGGCTGATTTTCATTGCGGGTTTTCTTGTTTCTGTGGTCCGTGTAGGTGGATTTGGTCTCCACTATCCACATTGCTGATAAGGAGTACGTCTCTCTCTCTCTCATCTCTCTCTCTCTCATCTCTCTCTCTCTCTCTCATTGGAAATTGGTTTTGCTTTTGTCTTTGTCCCTTATAGGGCGCATGTGTACTTTATTTAATTGATGTATTGTATGAAAAATATTGATTTGTGCTGCTTAGCCATCTAGTGGATTCTTCTTCTTGCTTCTGTATGGAATCCTTCAACATTAGCTAGTATTTGAAATGACTAATGAATAGCTTGGTCGCCGCAGGAAAATACAATTGAATGCACAAGTCTGTTCTTATTTCTATGAAAAATTACACTTCTTGTTGTGGCTGCTGTGAGATGCATATTTAAGTTGCTTAATTCGGTCAACAGTTGTTCTATTCCCTCTGCATCTCTCATATCAGACTTCTGATTACTCAAAATCTCAATCAAAATGTGCTGAATTTGAATACCAGAATTGAAATACCAGTCTAACTAGGCATTGCCAATAGAAGCTACATTATTTGCGTGCATTGATACATTAACCATTAATGCGGTCGTGGGTTCATTTGCTGTTAAGCTCGTACGCTATAATTATTACGGTTTCACTTTTATGGTGTTTGGTTAATTAGTGCCTCATGGAAGAATCTAACAAGCATGTTCTTGCAGGTACTTCATGACTCTGCAAAAAGTACTAGAGCAATATGATTGTGTTCTTTACGAGATGGTTGCTAGTAGAGAGAATTTAGAAAGCAGAAGAAACCCAGAGGCTGGAAACAAACATAAGGCTTCACAATTGCGGGGATTTAATATTATCGGATGCATTCAACGACAAATGGCAAAGCTGTTGATGCTCGATTTTCAATTAGATTGTCTTGACTATCAGGATGAGAATTGGTATCATGCTGATCTTGATTTCGAAACTTTCAAATCACTTCAGGTACTATTAGATCGGCATATATCCTTTCTACGGCTGACTACCAACATATGCGAAATTTTTGAGTTGACATTGTCTAGTTGGAAAAGGTTGGCTAATTAGATGTTAGAGTACTCTTGGTGCTATTTGATTCTGGGATTTCTTTTTTTCTATTTCAGCCTCATTTTATCAATGTTTCCTTGTACTAAATTTCATTTTTTTTTTGCTCTGACCCATTTCAGCTTGAAAAAGGTGAGAGCTTCTTCACATTTGCCAGGGACACAACTCTTAGATCCACTAAAGCTATAGTGCAACCTACTCCAGTTCGAAAAGATCTTGGCCCTTGGAGATCCAAACTTCTTTGGGCCTCTCGTTTTGTACCAATGCCTCTTGTTGGTCTTCTTGTCATTGGAAGTATATGTGCTGATGTAGGAAGTGAACCTGCATACCCCGAATTAGAAGCCTTGTCCAGGCTCGATTTTAGTGGAGCAATGAAAGTTTTCCTAGCTAAGAGGCTGACGTCCGAGTAAGTGTCAAAACATTAGATAATAAGCCCTTAGTTTTTCTACAGTGGATATCTCGAATATTGCTTGTCATGGAGCCTTAATGCCTTTTGTGCATAATTTGCGTGTTCTTAAGGTTAATAAAGCATTGCCACATCTGTCTTATTCTGCGTATAAATCATGACTTTATCTACTGGTGCTACATGTATTTATTTACCTTTGCTGGTTTCAACTCTCCTTTTTTCTTGTGGTAAAAGAAGGTTCCATTTTAGCAACCAGTTAGTTATTAAGTGATGCGAGCAGTCATAAATTTTTTCAGTTTGAACAATGGTGAAATTGAATAGTGGTAGAACCATCTGAGTTACAGTAACTGATTTTTAGTCTAGTAAAACAAGAGAATAGTGTGTCAACTCACAATTTTCATCTGAGTTGAAGTAACTTGATATTCTTTATAAGGGGTATCCATGTATTTATTTAAAAACATAGCACCTGAAAGAAGCACTTAAAAGAAGAGATTTCTAGTATCAACTCATCATGCTTTAAAATGATTGGTACCACTCTAGGTTCATGCAGTTGACATCAGATGTGGAGGAGAAATCAGTCATTGTAGGCGAGAGAAATAGAGTTGCTACAGAGGCACTACGCCGAGCCATTGACTGTGGGAACAGAAAGATTGGCATCTTATATGGGGGTGGGCACATGCCCGATTTGGGGCGCCGTTTAAGGGAGGAATTCAATCTTGTCCCATCCGGGGTGCAGTGGATAACTGCTTGGTCCATCAGAAATAAGAACCTCACCACAACTTCTTCTCCTGTTTTTGAAAAATTGGGGGGCATGCTGAGGTGGCCATTGAACCGGTATCAAACCCTTGCGTTGCTCATCTTTTCTTCGGTGCTCGCGCTTGATCTATGGTTTTGGGAATTGTTTTTTGGTGCTACGGTAAATTGGATTTCTAATGCAGCTTTCGACTTGTTTCGGTTTATTGATAGCCCTCGACTGATATGATTTGTAGCGGTATCTTTTGTGAATATTGTATTAATGGTCGAAATTGTATCTAACATAATGTATGTCTATCCGGCTTGTTGGTTGTTGCAATGAACACTTTTGTCCATGTTAACCTATCCATCGCATTATTTTTCGAGAAAATTAGGTTGCCCTATTGGCGTAAGCCAACGGATTTGATTGGCGGGGATGTACTTTTTAATCATTAGGCTGCAAGTGGCATTTGATTGGCGGGATTTTGTGGAACGGTTGCCACACATCTACACCATTTTATTTTATTTTATTTTATTGTTAAAAATGAAATTGAGTTGTATTTTGGGCCAATTTAGATGTATTGTGATTGGGCTTTTTTTAACTACAATTGGGTTAATTGAATTAATTAGTTTTATGGGTTGAATTAAAATATTTATAATTATTTTAAACTTAATTATTGTAATTAATATGGTAGAATTTTAAGTAGTGTAATGAAAAATTGAATATTTTATAATTAATATGATAGAATATTAATTAGTATTTAAATTCTCTTAAATAAATATTTCAAACAAACAAGTTAAAATTACAAAATAAGGATAAATATTCAACTCTCTTAAAATTAACGGTTCAAACACTAAGATTAAAATCACAACATAAAGATAAACTAAAAAAACACATTCTTAAAGCTCACACATACTAAAGCTCACACATACTATAACAACGATAATTAATATGGAACACAAAAGCTAAAAAGGTTTATAAAATAGACGATTTCATAGACTTAATTGTCAACATAATAATCATTCAGATTTCCTCCGTCATGCCCGATGTCGTGGAGAAATCCAAATTGACCCGTGTTAGATGATGGTGGTGTTGCTTGAGATTGTTGTTGCTCAATTTCTCTTTCTTGTAAAATTTGCAGTTGTTTTTGTTCCCAATGTCAACGTATCATGGGATTCGTAAGGGAATTCAAATCTATCATCAAAATTCTATCTTCATCCCTCCTTTTCTGCAAATCAAGTTGTTTTTCTGCAATTGAAGTTGGACACTTCGACGTTCTTCGGCTTTCTGCAACAAATCAACAATAGTATCACTTTTAGCATTTAGAGTTTAAAATATTGGCAAAATCGGTCTTCATTTTTCCTCTTCAATTTTACTTTCTTCGCTCCCATTGGACGTTGAGAGGATGTTCCACCAACACCATCGTCACTTTGTTGAGGGCTAAACGATGACAATCCTGGAGACTCTGGTGTTGGTTGCCCATCATATGGAATGTCGGACTCGGAAGAGTCATTGAATGATCGAAATCCCGACGACGAGATCGTGGTTGGGAGACATTATCATCAAATTTTTCAAACTCTTTAAATAGTCGGAACACATGTTGGAACTTGAAGCAATCTTTATATTTTGGGTCTTGTTCAAACAATTGTTCGGCTTGCTCAATTTACAAACAAAGTAAAAAATATACAATTGTAAGTATAACTATAAAACAAGCAAATAACATGAACCGTGATTGAACTTAAAACAAAATACTCACCCTATCTTAGATTTGTGTCCCACTAGGATTGCGATATTTGATTTGCTTCAAGCATCCATTAAACCTCCGACAACGAGTTTCCATGAGACGGTAACGAGAGTCGAGAGACCTTATAGACCGTTCTGGTAAATTCTTGTGTTTTTGGGAGTTGTGTACATCGTGTATTTTTTTCCAAAAGGTTGAAGAACTTTGGTCATTTGATGATATTGGAATATGTGAAACACTTACATAATATCTCACAATTAAGACATCTTCTGGTTTGGAGTATTTTGGCCTTTTGAAGAAGACATTTTGAAGAAAATAAAATATTCAAGAAGAGTGGGAACAAGAAGACTACAATAATGGAAGAAGAAATGAGAATATATGCGTGGTTGCTTCTTGAAGTGGGATCTATAAATAGAGAAATGAATTCACATGCAAAACAAGTATAGTGACTATAAAAAAGAATCCAATGCAAAAGAAATCAATGCAAATTAATTGTTTATTTATTTGTAATCCAATGCAAATTAATTGTTTCACATGACCTTGTCCGAAATTATTGCATTTACCATTATGTTGGTCAAGTTTGTTCACTTCACATGGTCTTATCAGGAAAGAATCCAATGGATAGATGTACCTATTGTCATTGTCCAAAAATAATGTAAAGTAATAATGTTTCACATGGCCGTGTTCGAAATTATTGCACTTGTATTGTGTTGGTCAAATTTGTTCACTTCACATGGCCTTGTTTGAAAAAAAATCCAATGAAGAAAAAAGGTATTTCTTTTATTCATTCATTCTTCTATATAAAAATGAAACTATACATCATATCATCCAAGTTATATATTACATTTATTATCAAATATTTCTGTAATATTTCCCTCTAATATCATTCACAATGAATTATCTTCGTCCTTATAATTATGATTCTGATGAGGAATATGCAAATGCTTCATTGCCTCTTTTTCATAACACTTTGGAAACAACCACCACTCATATATTGCAAACCAACAATTTCTTTTATGGCACATGCTATCTCTGCGCAAAGTAGCCAACCAACTTGGGTAAGTTTTGTTCCAGAACATAGAGTAGTCCATCGTGAACGGGAGGAGGCCCATCACACTCTGTTTCGAGATTACTTTAGTAGTAATCCAACCTACGGTGAAGATACATTCCGTCGAAGGTTTCGGATTTCTATTCATAATTTCAAGCGTGTTATGCAAGCATTGGAAAATCATGATAGTTTTTTCCAACAACGTCGGGATGGTCTTGGTCGACTTGGATTGTCAACATATACAAAAGGGACAGTGACGCTTCGTCAGTTGGCCTATAAAACCCCTGCAGATGGTGTCGAGGAATATCTTAAGATTGCTGAGTCAACGACCAATGAATGCGTAAAGAGATTCTGTCGTGGAGTCGTTGAAGTTTTCGGAACACAATATCTGAGATCACCAAATCACGATGATATCGCAAGGTTGCTTCACATTGGTGAACAACGTGATTTTCCAGGTATGTTAGGTAACTTGGACTGCATGCATTGGGAATGGGAGAATTGCCATAAGGCAGGGGCTGGTCATACTCTGGACGTTCCGGAAAACCAACAATCATTTTGGGAGCTGTGGCATATTATGATCGATTGATATGGCACACATAATTTGGTATGTCGGGTGCCAATAATGACATTAATGTGTTGGAAGCATCACCTCTAATGTCAAATCTTGCTGAAGGTATCACTCCACCAGCTAATTATACTATTCAAGGTAAACAATTTAATATGAGCTATTATTTAGCAGATGGTATATATCCAAAATGGTCCACTATTGTTCATTGTTTTGTTGCACCATCAAAATCCAATGGTGGAATACTTTAAAACGAGACAAGACGCATGTAGAAAAGACGTTGAGCGTGCATTTGGAGTTCTGCAAAAAAGGTTTGCAATCGTCGGGGGTCCTGTTCGTTTTTGGAAAAAGAAGTGCTTAGGGTATGATTGTTTATGGATTCAACTAGTTTTTATTTAGTTTGTTTTTTTAACTATAGTTAATTTTGAAAAAATGTTGTATGGTTAGCTGTTAGTGGATATATTAAATAATATTTAAATAAAATAATTAAAGCTGATTTGATGTAAAGTAAGAGAAAAATGATTGGAAGTGATGGTTAGTTAATATTATGTAAGTGGATGAATAATGAATGAAAGTTGATGTGATGTGTAAGAATAATTGTTTGATATTATTTAATTATATTGATAATATTGGAGATAGTCGGTTGGGTTAAAATTGAGTTAAATTTGAATTTTGATTAGTTTTTTACTGTTCAAACCATATACAATTGCCCCCTTAATGATATAATGAAAGCATGTATTATATTTCACAATATGAATGTCGAAGATCAATGTGATCTTAGTTCACCAATTAGAAGTGATGTTCAATTTGTTGCTCCTACGGTTACTCCAGCACCGGGAGATCACGTCTCTTTTCAACAATTTCTTGCTCGACACAAAAGAATTAAGGATAAGTCTGTCCACTATGAACTTCGTAATGCATTGGTTGCACATTTGTGGGAAAATATTCTCATGGACATAACTAGTGTTGCATTTTGTTTTCTGTAGTTCTTATTGTATTGGGTGCTTCATGTTTTTGTTGATATTTTTTTTTAAATTAATGTTTGTTATGAAATCCACGTGGTTTTATGATGTAGTGTGTAATTTTATGATTTTGATTTAAATTTACTAATTAATCTTATTAATCAATAATTAATATATACATAAATATGTTAATTTTATGCAAGCATAATGCATTAAAATGTAATTTTTAGAGACTATTTAATAAATTAACAAAATTAAAAAAGAATATTCTTGAAATGTTCTTTTAGAGGTGAATTATAGAGGGAATGGGTTGGAATTGCTAGCACTGTTCAAACTGTAAAACTAGTGAAATTTTACTATAGATACTGTAAAAATATATACACCACGTAGGAAATAGGCCGGCATAGGAAATAGACCTAGTCTAGAAAAATATATACTCCAATGCAAATACAATTGAACTTGATCATGTTGTTGTGGCAGCAAGAAAATGAGACTCAGTCTATCCGTGGGTCTATTTTAAACCCAAGTAAAGACCTAATCTCTTTGCATTTGAGTTAATTTCATTACTTTTCTATATTTTTATATATGTCATCTAAGACTCAAGTCTATTTACACGTCATGTAAACAAAACTAGACCGAAAGCATTGTACATGCTCTTAGGATACATTCAATCACGAACATGTGCTTATACAAATGCACTTTTAGTTCAAGTCACACTAGCATAAATATTGTACAATTAGAGTTTAGTGTACATTAATTCATTTTTTAGCTTTTCATTCTCTCTCCCGAAATAATACATCTCCATTTTTTTCTCGACAGTTATTCTTCTGATATTTGATTCTCCAATATGCCTATATCACTGTTGGCCCAGCCATTTGCACAACAAAGGTAGTGAAAAGGTGCATACTGCATAGCTTGTTAGGAGTAAGTATATCCACCTCAATTAAGCAACAAATCCAGTTGCATAAATATCACACAAAATAAGAGAGCCACCGCAAAGCATGACAAACTAGCAAGAAACATAACATTCGCTCACACCCAGCAGAAATGCCACAACCCTGCATTATCCACAAGCCTTTAGTGTGCTTCACATGAAAAAGTAACATGCAACAGAAAGTATTAATTAAAACACATCAGGGAAACGTCCAGGGAATGGGCTGCTCTGTTGGGCCTGCTTAAGGTGCATTGCGAGGGCATAGTTGTTAACCTGTAGAAGAAATAAATTAATATAAATATATCAATATCAGAGGGAGTTTCACTACAAGATGCACATCGAACCATAAAAATAATCAAATGGCTTCAGCATAAAATTAAAAGTCAGTGATACTTTATTGAGTACAGTCGAAACAACTTCATTTGTTTAAGAGGACATGGCTAGACTAAAGGAGGAGCTGTAGGTGTTGTGGGTATTTAAATTGACAGTAGTTGCAAAAAACATGTACGGATTTAACAGAAGACCCACATGGGTTAATTTGAGTTGGATAGGGTATATATGTCTAATAAGAAAATTTAGACAGAAGAATTTGACACATTGAGATTTCATGAAAAAAAAAAAAATAAATAAAGTTCAGCTACAAACTCAAATAAACAACTTCACATCCTTCCCAGTTTTAGTTTTGCGGAACAGAAATTCATCCTAAAACTGTCATTTGATATCCATCCGTTAATGTTTCATATAAAATTACAACCAATGCCACTTTTATCTCTCAACAACTCTTTCAATACCCATGTGGGTGGTGCTAGGATGGGTTTTTGGCTACACAATCACACAAATGGCTGCAAAGATATGCGTAAAATATGTGGCTGGAGAACCCTATGTGGGCACAACCAACTTGTGTAACATGAAAACAACCTCTTAACCCTAAAGCATTTCACACAAACCCCATGTGTTAAACGTTTACACAATGATCAATGAACCTGTGCTTTATTATTATTTCCTATATAATAATGGCAAAAAATTTAAAAATCTGTAATGTATTAGAAACTTTAAAACACACACTGTTCTCTAACGAGATATTGAAACAATCCTAACTCAAATTCAAGGTATTTGAAACCCAAAGACAACTGAACAAAGTTGCATCTGCACGAACAGTTCATTTTTTACTATTTTATTATTCATTCACATGCAGAGAAATATAATACTTGGGCTCATCTTTAGGATTTTATGAATTACTAGAGATCTTTATATCCACATTAGGCCCCTTGAAATGTCAATTTGCCCAATATCAAGAAGAGTCTTTATAACTCAGAACTCCAGAAACTTCCCAAGGTTCAACTATTCCATATTTACACTAATTTACGCAGCACATGCTTACTATGGAGTTCAATGAGATGTTACCAAGATAGAAGATGCACATTAATGATTTTTAATATGCATAGTCCAGATCGATTTCTTTGATCATCACCTAGAACAGATCACATGATTAGGAATTTGCAGTGCCTCTTATAGAGACTATGCCTAGCAAGCAAGAGCCATGGCCCAAGACAAACACCTAAAAAGTTGATACCATGGTTGCATAATTAGGAACTTAGGATGTAACACAAAATTTCTGCAGAACAGAACCAATTTTTTCAATTTAAGCTTGTTATTAGCTTGAAAAAACTGGAAAACAATGGTAATATTTATGATCAATATTCGCATTACATCACTATAACAGCTTCTGCAATATAGAACAAATTATTTCATGTTGGCACCTCAATTTCGCTTCCAAAAAAATTGCCAAGAATCTCTGATGTTCACAAAGTTGCCACCACCTAATCAATTATGAGTGATTAGACCATTTGGGATTCTGAATGATGTAACCGTCTTGCCAAGAGATGTTACACGGGTTGGCCCTTTCGGGCTAGCCAAAAATGGTTTGGTTAAAAAAAGTCCCGATTTAAACGGGCTAGCAACTTGAGGACATAACTCTAACCTAACAGGTTCCGGGCGAAATGGGCTACAAACGGCTCATATATTAAAATATTTGAAGTTACATATGTAAATACAAAATTTGAATATAGACATATACAATATTATATTTCATACATGTTTACATAATCTTAGTTAATGACATTAATAAAACAACAAAACTAAAAAAATTATTAAATAACATTGACGTATATTAATTGTGTCTCATTATATACCAAAAATAAGAATAATTTATTACATCCCCTCTGTATACAAATGCATAGTTCCCAAACCTATGTGTTAACTTCTAATGTTTCGCAATCCAATTCTGGTGCTGCATAATCTTATGTGTCAATTTATGGCGGTTTGGAGTAATCCACATAAATGTTGAGTTATATTTTTGCTTACTAGTACTTTCAAAATAATAAAACCTTCGACTAACTTAAATTATAAATATATATTACAAGTTAATAACTTTCGCATTTATTATAAGATTTTCACATATTATATACCAAATTAATTATTTTTTGATAACCTTCGATTTGATATTTAAATTGCATATATAAATATGTATATAAAAATCAAATTATCTATCAATATGAACTAGAAAATAATAGAATTAATCACGAATTGAATAATTCTATCATTCAAGTCCATTATATAATATGATATAAAAAATTTATAATATAGGAAGGGTAAGTCGCACAAAAATGACGAATAACATTTAAATATAAATAATAACAATAATAATAATAGTTTAATTTTTATATTTTAAATTTAAAAAAAAAAAACTTTTATTTTATTAACTTTTAAAATTTAGATAAACATTTTTATGAGCATTTGTGTAATACAAGGGTGTTGCACTCTACTAGTTTCAAAATATAATAAAATTTAATACGACAACAAATTCTAGAATAAATAAATAGTTGGATATTATAATGTGAACAAAATTAAGTAAACTAATTTTTCCGATAACAAGAAATAAACAAAGGTATTAACTCTTATTTATATTAATAAACACCAGCTAACCTAGGGGCTAGTCCTAACAAACTCGAGCTAAATGGTTGATGTTCTGCACTCATTTAAATGGGCCAAGGCATAGAGGGCCTAACCTTTTTTGACTAAACAAGTCAGGCCCGATGGGCTTTATCTCATTTAACATCTGTTGTAGTTTCTCTGGTCCCTAGACTATTATAGGAAGTACATTGAAAACTATTTCAGTATTTATATATAAATAGAAGGAAAAATGAGGAGGTGCTTCAAGGCCTAGTCCCCCATAGTGGTGCCAAGGACATGTTCATGGCTCAAGTAGGTCTAAGAAATTAAGCCTTTAGATAAACTCAAATAGGTCACGAGTTCGAGGCATGTAGGGGGTAAGTTAGGAACTACAATCGATCCTCTATTCCTCTTTTTAGAGGGAAAAAATAATAAAAGTAAATAAATAAATAAATAAAAACTTGGGATAAACTCTAGACCCCATTAACCAGGTCCAACTATCCCACCAATTCTGTTCCCATGGGTGTGTTACGGAGTAGCCTGTGTTGGTGTTTGCATGTGCAGGAAGATGCAAAGCAAAGAAGACTTGCCTGTCTTAAGTTAAGAATAGAAATAGCTTGTGTAATGGCAGAAGATTGCGATTAGCATTTGGATTGCTAGAACTGAACCCAAGGTATTCTAACAACTTATGGGCACATGCATTAATGTGCTCTAAGGACTCTTCCCATATGAACCGGCAAATAGCTTGTGCAATAGCAGAAGAGATCAGCAAGAAAAGATTAGCAATGGGATTGCTAGAATTAAACTCCACGGTATTTTAACAACTTATGGGAAACATGCATTAATGTGCTCAACATACTTACCCCATGTGTGGGAGACGTAAGGGAAGTTGTGCATGCAATGCAAACTAAGGGTCGATACAAAGTCTATATCTAGGTCTAAAATTGGGACATTGTTGCCAATGATGATTAATAATAGTTGGAGGGCAAGTCCGAAGCAAACCAAGAGGTTGCCAAAAATACATTCTTGAGCTTATCATGAAATGATATAGAGTTTCGGTAGGGCAACTACTTTGGAAACGCAGCGAAAGAATATGTAAGAGAAATTGAGAGAATTATCATTTTCTTATTTGTTAATAAAAGCAAACCCTAATGACATCAAAAGAAAAAGTTCAAATCCCAATGGTCTGCCACAATAAAATCTACTGCATAAAAAACACGAAATAAAGATAATTGCTCGAAATAAATAAAACAATTAAACTCGTATCAAACAAGTTCCATAAACAATTGTGCTTATCCATAAATGCCAGGGCGGTCTCATCTCCATCATTTGGGTTGCCTGAAGAATATTGACCATTTTTATTTGTTGGCCATTGATTTACTTCAAGGATACCGGTTAACCCCCAAGGAGGTCAGATCGAGATAAAGATTATTGCTAGACCAGAAAGACACACACAGTTTACAAATGTATGGATGACCTGAGAATGAACTATACAAAATACATTTCCAATTTAAAACTTACTCCTTCTACCCACCACCTTAAGTGTGGACCGCCCAAGTAAATCTAATAACACATTAACACCTTCAATATGCTAACGTCCAAGATACTTCATTCACTTCTACCCTGATCACAGTAGCAAGTACAAAAAGAATAGGGAAGGAAATTTCTGAAACTACAGGAGATATCAGATTGAATTTTGTTCACAACTCAGTCCACAATCTTGAACAGGACCTCCTATATAGCCATCCCTATAAATAGTTTCCTCTAAACAACTAAATTATGAAAATCATGCAGTTTTTAGGTTGTAAATCTGACCTCAAGACTTCGGATCCGCTCTTGGTATTGAGATACCAGCTGTTTCAGCTGATGCAATTCCTGGCTCATTTTTTCAAATGCCTTATGTCTCTCATGTTGTATGGAAACTGCTCGCTTCAAAATAACATTTTCCTGCAACAGTGCTTCCAGTTGCTGTTTTACCATTATGTTTCCCTACAAAAGATACCATGTTTAATCGTATGCAATAGTAGCAAGAATATTTATAGTTTTTGGGCCATAATAACATGAATACATCAAAGATAGAGATTATACATAACATAAACTAAAAGAGGGAAGGGATATATACACAGTGCTGAAAAGTAAGTAATAACTTAAAGAACATACCTCTTGAAAACATGTTTAATTCGTATGCAATAAAAGCAAGAATAATTATAGTTTTTGAGCCATAATAACGATGAAATACATCAAATATAGAGATATAACCTAAACTAAAAGAGGGGAGGGATATCTGCACAGTGCTGGAAAGTAAGTAATAACTTAAAAGACATACCTCCTGAAAACTTTTTGCAGCCTCTGATGTAGCATTCACACAAATGGACTTCTCCAATGCCTCAAGTGCTCGTGATAAGCGGGCCTTAGCATCATCCAAATTTGGAGCACTTAAAACTTCTCTAACCAAAAGTTCCACCCACTCTGCTCCATCAACAGGAAGAATGCTTTCTGCAGGTTTTTCCTCTCTATGAGGAACTTCCCCACTGTTCACCACTGTGTATACATAACAGGAATAAGCATAACCATGTAACGAAGATCTAATCAGTTCCAAAGAGATTCCATAGAGCAAGAAAGCAACACAAAATATCAAATACTTGAAACCAGAAATATCTGCGCCAATAATACAAGCACTCAAATNACAACAACAACAGAGGGATTCAAGACTGACACATAAACCAGAAAGGGAAAAATAAATAATTCAAATTTAAATATAATATTATAGTATAAATAAAACAAAAGTTTGACATACAACAAGAAGAATGAACACAACTAAAGAGTTTGGAGTGATGCCCATTGAACCACCACTGCACCTTTGTATAAGTTCCGTCTGAGTCAAGTCAAAGCCACGAAACAAGTAGCTTATATGTTAAATTTATTCTAATATATAAGCCTTACCTAATTGTTTCAAAACCACAATTAGGGGGTTCTTGGCAAGTTAATATGCAGTCGACATGGGTAAGGGATTATTAGTAGACCGCAACCTCCCTCAAGCCAACCCCAACAACCAAGTAACACTTTAGTGGGCAAGTGTCTTGCTTCAATTGCTAATGCTTGGAGTAAAGCGCGCAAGTCGAAGGAAACTAAAGCTTGGTTCAATCAGTATATTTTAGGTGAAGAAGAAAAAATCCCCTCCTTCAATAGCATCAGAAAAATGCAGGAAAAATTTGTGTCACCGGAAGAGCGACGTAAAGCCATTAAATCCTGATGGCCATCAAGGCATCATCATAGTATGTCAATCCGTTTTCCAGACCATTAAGTTCTTGATCTTGTCTAGAAAATGTCAAGCTCAATGGTCAAACCAAAATATCTGAACTTCAGTCAACTGTTACACATTTACAGAACCAAAAAGCATCAGTTCTATCAAAATCACACTCGCAATAATTTCAATTAGAATTTTCATGAAGAAGTCAAGGAAGGCAAAAATCATATATTTCAAGTATGTAAACAAGACTGTACTGCAAGCTTGCACTACAAAAATATTCTATTCCTCAGCCCTAGTACATATTCTAGGCCAGACTCATTACAGTTGATAAAGTAGGTGGACTTTAGCACTACTAGAGTAACTCGCTGTCAGCACTCAAGTGCTCCCTCGTTGAGTGATATACCTATCCTCCCCATGAATCTTTCTCTACCTCTTTCCTGGATCAATTAAAGTTTAAACTAGATAGGAAAATTCCATCCACAATCCATAATGAAAAGACGTGAAATTAGCAGAAGTATGTCAGTATAGGATGCAAAGTTGGGAGTTCAAGAGGAGATAAGCTTTGCATCAAATCATCAAACGGGTTAATGAAGGGACCATTTCAGTAAGTTGAGCAAGAATGTTTTATGTGACGAGTTTAGTGACTTCATGAACTCCAAAAGTTTACTGTGTCCCCCAATAGCTCTTGAACGATAAACAAACTAGACAATCAAAGTTATTTCACTNTACCAAAAAAAAAAAAAAAAAAAAAAAAAAAGAACACCTTCAGAACAAAATTGGTTGCCAATTTCCTGAGAAATATCAGAGACACTTGCTGCAGCACTAAGCCGAAGTTCGTTAAGCCTTTTTATTGCAGAATCCAAATCATCACCAGCTTCCTCAAGGGCTTTCTCCAGAAACTACAAGCCAAAACAATTCGGCAACAATTTAATCAGATTTAACATCAAACAAATAAGTACAATGAATATTAGAATGATTATCTAGTACTCAATCAAGAAGCACAACAGTACATTGAACATATATCCTTCCACAGAGATTGAAGCAAAATTCTTTAAAATAGATGTTGACTAGAAAATATTAGTTATGATTCTGCTAAAGAATAGTACGCATAGAATCAATCACAAATCAGAACAACAACATCAACAACAACAACATAGCCTTTAGTCCCAAGCAAGTCGGGGTAGGCTAGAGATGAAACCCAAGAGAAACACAAAAAGACTCGAACCAAAAGGAAGAGATAAAAAAAAAATTAGGCCGACCTCTACCTCTCTTAACATCCTCGACCCGCTGTAGAACTCCCCTACGCACCGGTGCATCAGGAGGCCTCCGTTGGACATGTCCGAACCACCTCAGCCGATGTTGAACCAATTTCTCCTCAATTGGAGCCACCCCGACCCTATCTCGAATATCCTCATTAATTAAATAGAAATCAGGTAGGCGTAGGGGAGAAATCAGGAATTTTTGTTAATCATTTAATAGGGAGAAACAAATAATAGTCAAACCAAATGAGGTAAGCGTTTCAGCACCTTCCAGGTCCAGCACAAGGTGCAAAAAATTTATTATTACCCTAACTGAACTGCAATCTTCTCAGTGTTAAATCCCTAAATAGAATCTGTAAATGTAACTGTGTGCTGTCTGAAACTAAAAGCAACAATGAAATACATATGCAAAAAAAACATACAGCTACCTTGTAATTAATGGGCTCTAATTCCTTTCAACAGTTGAAAATGATAAATCTTTTTTCCTTTTGGAAGGTAGAGGAGTGAAACAATCAACCTATTGTTATTTGAAGAACCAACTGATTCTTCCAATGTATCATTTCTGGGTCCAATGGAATTCATAGGTATAGGAAAAAGACCGGTGGATGGTATCTAACATATATAGTTCCAACAATGTTCCCTTGAAAAAGAAAATGACTCAGGCAGCCAACTTGGCATACAAAGAAATGTCTAATAAAAACCACTGTGGTAGTATTAGGTTTCATATGATTTTTCCCATGAGGTAGATCTAATTATTTATACTGAAATATCCAGTATGACTGACCGTGGCTGCTAGGACATTTGATACATCTATACAATTTATTTACGCCTAGAAAGTGTTTATGGTCATCAAAATCTTGATATTTCTCACTAAATTAAAGTACTAAATTTTATGGCACTGATAATCATACATCAACTTCTTTGATCGTGAACAAATTATTTTCCACAATCAAAAAATGTTCATCGAATTTACACATTCCATTAAATAGCTTTTCTCAAATTATTATGAATTGAAAGCAAGTTTCATGATATGGGTGCCAAACTCACCAAAACAGCACTATATAATAATAAGAGGTGAAGTTGTAAGTATGCATTCCTCAGAATTGCTCACTAAATCGAATCACTTGATTTCATTTAACAGCTTTAATTTAATCATGCATTGGTAGGATGAAGACAAATAAATACAAAAGAAAAAACCCTTCCAAGTTCCAACCTAGGGTTATTCAACAGTTCAGAACAAGTGAACAAAATCTCAGGTTTTTCCCCCTCAATATTAAGACATTCATATTCACAAATCTGAGCATCTTCTGCTTCATGTAGTGACTAAAAGGAAGCGCGACAGGCCGAGCAAAAAGCCTCCTATTTGCGTTAGGCGTAAGTTGTGAGGCGCTCACCTTATTGAAATGAAGGGAGCCAATACACAAAAATACAGATATATGGGCGTTTGACGTTTCACCAAGTTAAAAAAAAATTATGTATGCAAAAAGAAAATACGATAGCTAGTGCCAAACAAACATATAATGTCCCTCTCCTTACTATCGTTCGCCATCTCTGCAATAAAGTTAAATTGCAAAAAGTATAAGCCTATTAACCATGAACATTGTCCAACTCATATATTCTATTCCTAAACTAATAGGAATGAATATAGCCCACCTCCCATCCCCAGCAGATGAAAAGAAAAGGTGAACATTTTCACAATTAATTATGCACGTCTTTCTTCCCAGCAGAAAACAGAAAGCTAATAAAGACATGACATGATATCCCAGTAAGCAAGGTTCATGAAATTGTCTTTGTTTCTTGTATGATGAGCTCGCAGTAATCAACTTTTTGGTTGGAAAAATATTAAGAAACAAGAAACCGGCACCTACTGCTAGCTCTATAGAGAGATTGTCATCGACACCTCAAATCTCAATAATGCCTGATTGCTTTCCGTAAAATATATGGAGTTATAGATCTTTAAATTGAAATATACAGGCCACAGCAGCTTCAAGCTCATTCAAAGCTAAAGCTGGACTATTGATCAGAATGTGAGTTATAGCCAAAGAGGACCTTCCAATCAGAAAGCAAGAACTCAACTGGACAATAACGAGTGCAGGGAACACATATACTCTGACAACCAAAACCAAATACAAATGATAAATTATATTCCATAAACTTCCCAACCTAAAGCCTTCGGATATTACATTGCCCACATCATGCCAACTGTGATCACATTCGCAGTCATTTCCCTTCAAAGAAATGAACAGTGAAAGAAAGTGTGATTACTAATAACAAATTCCAAGATAACAACAAAATCTAATGGTATTACTTTTAGAAAACTTAAAATTGTGCAAGCTGATATTAGATTCTAGAAGTAGTTAACCAAATAATATTCTCCATCTGTTAGAATTGGAAGAAACAAGAGGTGAAAAAATTAAGATTACCTGTCAACCGCATAAAATTATTTCACGTAGCATTGGAAAACATAAAAAACTTAGCATGTCAAATACATCTCATCCGTATTGTCAAAACAATCACAACTTGATCAAGTTAACACAACAAATGGTACGTTACAAAACATTAAAAATAGAAGTACAAAAACTATGTTGATATCATATGTCTTGAACATAAAAATATCAAAACCATATCCAGGAACTTGTCGCACAGGAATAAACTCCCACAACAATCTCTTACACTGGGAGATTTTACGCATTTTAAGTAACGCAATAAAATGAGTTAGCGCATCACAACAACATACAAATTCCACCTTCCAAAAATTTCACCTATGAACCATTGACGGAATAAAGTACAAATCAATCAGAAACGAAGCATCCAACTAAAACGTAGGGGAACAAGAAAGGAAATGAATTGACAACCTCACTATCCGTATCGGGAAAGAGTGCGGCGAGATGATCGAGCACTGGACTGAAGGAGTTAGCCGTTGGCGGCGAAAAGGTTTGGCTCGAGGACGAGGATGAAGATGAACAACGGATCCTTTTGGAGATTGGAGGCGACGAAGGTGAATCCTCAAAGATGTTCGACCTCTTTCCGCACACAACGGCAGACATGCTTCGCTACAACGAAGAGAAATTCTCCCTACTCGGTTTCCAATTCCACGACCTCCAATCTTCTCAAGCACAATAAACCAATTTACAAACTATCGAGGCGACCCTTTTACAGAACAAGAACTGTGGAATTACAAGACAACCACCATCCCATACAAAAGAGTAATTATTTATGAGTGTGGGTGAACTCATTGGAAACTTTTTGAATTTATAACTAGTAGACCAAATACAATACAACTAGTACGCCACCCGCGTGTTACGTGGCCTAATGTTAAAAATTAATGTTAATAACTTATTATTTAAATAAATAAAAATAATCATACACGTGTAGAGATCATAAAAAGTATGCTGGAAATTTTATTCATTATATTTTAAAATGTTTATCTAACTATAAAATTATTATTGAATGAAATGTATATATTATTACCATTATCATCATAAATAAATAATCATGAGACAACTGATCCGTGACTACAGAAAAAATAACATATAACTGATTCTGACAACATTATTGATATTCGATGAAAATTAGTATTTGTCACATTAATGACACTCCTTGAAACTTTTTCCTAAAAATGTCTTGATAATAACATAATTTTCTTCATTTGTGAAGAACTAAAGACATTGTTATTGTTATATAGATAAACTAATATACAATAATTGAAATAAACATTGATGGGTCTACTTCTGGATCTGAAGTAAACCGGTGGTTGTGAGCTCAGATCTGCTTGAACCGCCTTGAAACCGTTGTTAGACCGCAAGAATACCTGCAAACACTCAACGCCGGAGGTGTTTCCGGCGTAGAGCCTCCGACGCTCAAGTCAGTATGAGAGTGATGAAGAGAGGCTGCGCAGCAGCTATGGGGGAGAGTGGGAATGAATGAGAGTTGGGGTTTAGGGTTACCTCATCTCCTTTATATAGGAGTGAATACTTACGTGAAGTGTCCAAAATGCCCCAGTCGGTGGACCTAGAAGGTCCAAAATGCCCTGGTCGATTCGTCTCCCCTTATTGCTGAGTCATCATAAGATTCCTTCTTATCCTTCCTAATGTGGAGGGCTTTGGATATGTTGCAAGTGTGGTGAATCGTCATCACATCTTTGTTATTTAAGGTATGTGAGGTCGACTTCGAGATCTAGGAAGTCGACTGTGGATATATGCGGATTCGGAAGCTACGCTTGACTAGTTCTTTAAGGCGAAGTCGTCTTCAGAGAGTCGTCTTAGTTCAGTCGACTTCTGGTAGTCGACTTGGAATATCTGGATGACCGGGAGCTGCACTCTTGCTGTTCCCCTTTCATTGATGTCGATTAGTGAAAGTCGATAGATTAAGGTCGACTTGCGAGAGTCGACTAGATCAATCTCTGCTTCTTCTTGATTGCTCTTAGTAGAATCGACCTTTGGGAAGTCGATTTGGGCATGTCGACGGAGTCATGTCGACATGCGGGTAATTCGAGTGGTTTGCTGGTCGAGTAAGGAGCTTCTGGACCGGGTTATCATTATGTGGCTATATCATCTAGTCCCCCCCGAAAATTACTCTAAGCAGTCGACTGCTTAAGAGTAAATTTGGCGATGTGTGGTTTCGCTGTCTCCTTGCGATATTTGCTCGTCTTTCATCCTCTTTGATAACTCGTCTTGTCAATCCATCGGGGTGCCTCTCGATTCTTACGATTGCTTTTTCAGATAAGCCTGACACTCAGACAGACCCCCTTTCAAATTTCGAATTTCAAAAAACCCTAAAGTGACGCGCGTCACTTCAACCGCCGACTCTTTGGATTCTGTGCCTCATCAAGACCGTTGGTTCCCTCGTTGATCCAACGATCGTCGTTCGTTACTCCTGTTTATAAATACATCTCCTTTTCTCCGAAGGTTACTTTTCGCATTCTCGAAATTCCTGCTTTCTCCAGCTTCTTCAGTTTCTCCGGCAATTTTCGCACTTCGGCTTCCCCGGCGTTCTCCACTTCCGGCAACTTCAAGTTCGTTCAAGGCTTCAATCCACTAAACCACCATGTGTAAGTTCGCTATTTTCTCTTATCCCTCTACTTTCTGTCGGTTTTTTTTTTCTTTTTTCAATTTTTTCTGGGTTCTGGGAATCCTCGTGTTCTTCGTGTTCTTCACAAATTTCTCATGAGTTTTGTGTTGGATCCTTTTGCGCGTATATTCTATTAGGACCTAATGTTTTTCGCCAGTCGTCGGCTGCCGATGAGCAATCGACTGTCACCTGTCGCTAAGTTGGCTTATGTCAACTTAGCGGCCTTCTTTCAATTTTCTCTTTTCAAGTCGACTAAGGTCGACTTACTAGCTTATTTAGGTCGAGATGCCGATAGCGATTGCCCCTTCTCTGTCCTTTCTTCCTCTGTCGATTATTGCGAGTCGCCCTGATTCGATCTTGTAGGCCCTTACTCGTGATTTTACTAACTTCGACCTTCTTCTCCTTTTTCTTTCTTTAGCTTCCGACTCGTCTCCTCTCTCTGGCTCCCTCGGTCAGCAGATCAACGATTATACTTGTCAAGCCGACGAGGGTTCCAGCTCTGACTGTGTCGAGGTAACCGGCTATAGGATGGTTTCACTGCCTTCCCATTCTTCTCCTCTTCTCGCCACTGCCTCTTCTGCCGACTGGGAGCAGTATGACCAAGCGCTCTTGGAGGGCGGTTTAGTCGACATCGTTAAGAGCCCTTCTCAAGGAAATCCTCCTCGTCTTGATCTTATTCCTCGAGGTATTCCTCTTAGGTTATTAGACATCCCTGTTTATAGAACCAGCCCTGTATCTGTACCACTAATTGCTCCACTTCTTAATTCTCAAAATGTTGTATCAATAGCTTGTCCCTTAGTTAGGTTAGCTGTTTTAAATCCTTTTTGTTATGCCTCTGCAGCCGAGGTCGAGGGCTTCAGGAAGTTTAGCGGGCTTCCTTCCGACTGGGAGTTAGTCGCCCCAGGTCCTAATGACGATTTCGCTCATCCTCCTCCTGGTTGCCATACATTTTTTGTAGACCAAGTCGTCTTCGGCCTTCGCTTCCCTATCCAAGACGAACTCTTGTTAATAAGTAACATGTATAATATCCCCATAAACCAATTTTCTCCGAATGCTATCCGCATTATGATAGCCTTTATAGTCGTCTCCCGAATAACACTCAATTTCTTTTCGCCCGACTTTTTCTTCTACTGCTATGGCTATCGACTTTCCAAAGGCGCTCACTGCCTGGGTCGTCGGGCCGGCGTCACCTTTCTTGACGATCTTTCATCAAATGTCACCGAGTGGAAGTCGAAGTTCGTTTTCATTCGACCTGCTCCTGGCACGTATCCCTTTGTGAATAAATGGATCACCTCGAAGGTGAAGCAGAATAAACGGCCCCGTTCTGACGAGTTCGCTGCTCTACTGGCGGAGCTTAATAAGCATACGTATAGCGCTCGTCAGTTAATAAAGGACCGTGAATTGGTTAATCACGCTCGCATCGTCATCTACGAGGACCTTCCTCGTCTCGATGACCCCCGTAAGCTTTTACTTGAATATCTGTTTGTAAAACTTCGATCATTCGAATCATGACTACCAGGTGTTCTTCATTTACTAACTTCTCCCCTACTTTTTCAGTTAAAGCGCTCAAACGCTTCGAGCTCAAGAAGGGCCAGTCGTCTGGTCAGCCGGCCGGTGGTCCTGTCATTCCGCCTCGACCCTCAGGCGGGTCTGGGTCGAGGCCCGCTGCTGCAGCTGCCGAGGCGACTGCTGCTAAAAATCCAGGGTCGAGAACCCTGGTTCCTCACAACCCAAATCGTCAGGCCCTTCCTCTCGCAAGAGGGCCCAGGACGATCGGGCCGCCATCCTTATTCCCGACGACCTTAAGCGCCGCAAGGTCGACAAGGGGAAGGGAAAGGCGGTCGAGAAGAAAGGCCCTTCCCCCATCACCGTCAAAGATGTGACGGTCAAGATGCCATCTCGGCTCTGGAATCATCCGGAGCCGTACCACGTGGCCAAGTACTTCAATTCCCTCATCCCCGAGGTCGACAAGGAGCGAGTCGAGGGGAACTTGTACGAGCGCTCCAATTACGCTATTCAGTGTCTCGCCCGGGTATTTTTTCCCTTCTCTCATCGACTTGGCTTTTGTGTTCTTTTCTCTAAACTCGATTCATCTTTTCCTTAATCTGTTTTTCATATTCTTTCGCAGTTCCTGGCTGCCGCGCTCCCCTGCTTTGAGGAGACGAGCAAGGCTCCTCTCGCTTCCACCAAGTCCCTCGAGGACAAATGCGAAGCGCAGCGCCAGGAAATCGAGGCGCTGAAAGAAGATTTGGAGGCCTCGAGGGCCCTGGTCGACAAATTGAAGGCCGATAAGGCCGTTTTCCGACATCTGAACGACAAACTCAAGGCCGACCTCGATAAGGCACGTGACGAGGTTATGGTCGAGAGGGAGAATGGCATCGAGGAGGGACGCAGGACCTTTCTGAAGTCCCCGATGGGCGCCATCTTCCTCGAGACCTATCGCCAAGAAGTCGTGAAGGCCTTCTGTAACTCTCCTTCCTTCCTCGATAAGCTTTGCCCTGCCGTCGTCCAATATTTCGACTTTGCTTTTGACGCGTGGGCGGCGGTGGTAGAGGGGTCTGACTTTGTTGGGAAGCTCGACCGCGAGGCGGTTAAAGAGACGCTCCCCGACCCCGAGGGTTATGAAGGCGACTCGTCTCTTCCCGACGATTACCCGTGGTGGACGGGGCTCGAGGCTTGGGCCATTCGCAAGGCTGGTCTAAGTTCTCAGCTCGAGGTCCCTACCACACCTCTGGTCGGTTCGACCGAATTAGTCAGGCCAGAGGGGGTTAGTCGGGTGGAGGAAGTCGTGGAGGTGGAGGAAGACGAAGGGCAGGGGACGGAACCGCTTATCGAGGACGCTGATAATAAGACCGAGTCCGACGGTATGGAAGGTGGGGACGACACGGCTGAGAAGTCGACTGGCGACTCTTAGCTGTGTTTGTCTATTTTCGGGCTGTGCCGCTTTATGTTTTGCTGTCTTCTTTTCTTCTTTTTCTTCGTCGTCCTCGACCTATTTTCAGGTCTGTAAAGGTCGAGGCGACTGACAATGTAATGAATTTTATATATTAATATGATCTCTTCTTTCCATTCGTTGCTTGTGTTACTTGTGTTTCAAATTATTGTGCTGCTGTTTCATGTGTATCTTCTCCCCAACC